TTTTTGTGTTAGGAAATACATATAAATAAAACAGAATTTTGACTGATTTTACCCCAAATTTCGGCCAAATTTTTTTCTCAAAGGCACATCTGTTCCCAAATCGAATTGGAATGTGTTCAGGGTTACCTGAGGCATCTTTCCTGCAAGTTTTAAAGAATTTCATTTTTTTGCCCAAAATTGAAAAAAATACAAGGGGTTAGCCTTACATTTTTAACCAAATTTGGCCAAAAATTGACTTTTCTCCAAACAACGCAGAAATACCTCTTCAGACGAGTGGAGCATGAATCAATATTCAAACACCCAAATTTGGGTAAATTTAAGCAAATATCATCCATTTTTGTGTTAGGAAATACATATAAATAAAACAGAATTTTGACTGTTTTTACCCCAAATTTCGGCCAAATTTTTTTCTCAAAGGCACATCTGTTCCCAAATCGAATTGGAATGTGTTCAGGGTTACCTGAGGCATCTTTCCTGGAAGTTTTAAAGAATTTCATTTTTTTGCCCAAAATTGAAAAAAATACAAGGGGTTAGCCTTACATTTTTAACCAAATTTGGCCAAAAATTGACTTTTCTCCCTACAACGCAGAAATACCTCTGGAGACGAGTGGAGCATGAATCAATATTCAAACACCCAAATTTGGGTAAATTTAGGCAAATATCATCCATTTTTGTGTTAGGAAATACATATAAATAAAACAGAATTTTGACTTTTTTTACCCCAAATTTCGGCCAAATTTTCTTCTCAAAGGCACATCTGTTCCCAAATCGAATTGGAATGTGTTCAGGGTTACCTTAGGCATCTTTCCTGCAAGTTTTAAAGAATTTCATTTTTTGCCCAAAATTGAAAAAAATACAAGGGGTTAGCCTTACATTTTTAACCAAATTTGGCCAAAAATTGACTTTTCTCCAAACAACGCAGAAATACCTCTAGAGACGAGTGGAGCATGAATCAACATTCAAACACCCAAATTTGGGTAAATTTAAGCAAATATCATCCATTTTTGTGTAAGGAAATACATATAAATAAAACAGAATTTTGACTGTTTTTACCCCAAATTTCGGCCAAATTTTCTTCTCAAAGGCACATCTGTTCCCAAATCGAATTGGAATGTGTTCAGGGTTACCTTAGGCATCTTTCCTGCCAGTTTTAAAGAATTTCATTTTTTGCCCAAAATTGAAAAAAATACAAGGGGTTAGCCTTACATTTTTAACCAAATTTGGCCAAAAATTGACTTTTCTCCAAACAACGCAGAAATACCTCTAGAGACGAGTGAAGCATGAATCAATATTCAAACACCCAAATTTGGGTAAATTTAAGCAAATATCATCCATTTTTGTGTTAGGAAATACATATAAATAAAACAGAATTTTGACTGTTTTTACCCCAAATTTCGGCCAAATTTTCTTCTCAAAGGCACATCTGTTCCCAAATCGAATTGGAATGTGTTCAGGGTTACCTTAGGCATCTTTCCTGCAAGTTTTAAAGAATTTCATTTTTTGCCCAAAATTGAAAAAAATACAAGGGGTTAGCCTTACATTTTTAACCAAATTTGGCCAAAAATTGACTTTTATCCAAACAACGCAGAAATACCTCTAGAGACGAGTGGAGCATGAATCAATATTCAAACACCCAAATTTGGGTAAATTTAAGCAAATATCATCCATTTTTGTGTTAGGAAATACATATAAATAAAACAGAATTTTGACTGTTTTTACCCCAAATTTCGGCCAAATTTTTTTCTCAAAGGCACATCTGTTCCCAAATCGAATTGGAATGTGTTCAGGGTTACCTGAGGCATCTTTCCTGCAAGTTTTAAAGAATTTCATTTTTTTGCCCAAAATTGAAAAAAATACAAGGGGTTAGCCTTACATTTTTAACCAAATTTGGCCCAAAATTGACTTTTCTCCCTACAACGCAGAAATACCTCTGGAGACGAGTGGAGCATGAATCAATATTCAAACACCCAAATTTGGGTAAATTTAGGCAAATATCATCCATTTTTGTGTTAGGAAATACATATAAATAAAACAGAATTTTTACTTTTTTTACCCCAAATTTCGGCCAAATTTTCTTCTCAAAGGCACATCTGTTCCCAAATCGAATTGGAATGTGTTCAGGGTTACCTTAGGCATCTTTCCTGCAAGTTTTAAAGAATTTCATTTTTTGCCCAAAATTGAAAAAAATACAAGGGGTTAGCCTTACATTTTTAACCAAATTTGGCCAAAAATTGACTTTTCTCCAAACAACGCAGAAATACCTCTAGAGACGAGTGGAGCATGAATCAACATTCAAACACCCAAATTTGGGTAAATTTAAGCAAATATCATCCATTTTTGTGTTAGGAAATACATATAAATAAAACAGAATTTTGACTGTTTTTACCCCAAATTTCGGCCAAATTTTCTTCTCAAAGGCACATCTGTTCCCAAATCGAATTGGAATGTGTTCAGGGTTACCTTAGGCATCTTTCCTGCAAGTTTTAAAGAATTTCATTTTTTGCCCAAAATTGAAAAAAATACAAGGGGTTAGCCTTACATTTTTAACCAAATTTGGCCAAAAATTGACTTTTCTCCAAACAACGCAGAAATACCTCTAGAGACGAGTGAAGCATGAATCAATATTCAAACACCCAAATTTGGGTAAATTTAAGCAAATATCATCCATTTTTGTGTTAGGAAATACATATAAATAAAACAGAATTTTGACTGTTTTTACCCCAAATTTCGGCCAAATTTTCTTCTCAAAGGCACATCTGTTCCCAAATCGAATTGGAATGTGTTCAGGGTTACCTTAGGCATCTTTCCTGCAAGTTTTAAAGAATTTCATTTTTTGCCCAAAATTGAAAAAAATACAAGGGGTTAGCCTTACATTTTTAACCAAATTTGGCCCAAAATTGACTTTTCTCCCTACAACGCAGAAATACCTCTGGAGACGAGTGGAGCATGAATCAATATTCAAACACCCAAATTTGGGTAAATTTAGGCAAATATCATCCATTTTTGTGTTAGGAAATACATATAAATAAAACAGAATTTTTACTTTTTTTACCCCAAATTTCGGCCAAATTTTCTTCTCAAAGGCACATCTGTTCCCAAATCGAATTGGAATGTGTTCAGGGTTACCTTAGGCATCTTTCCTGCAAGTTTTAAAGAATTTCATTTTTTGCCCAAAATTGAAAAAAATACAAGGGGTTAGCCTTACATTTTTAACCAAATTTGGCCAAAAATTGACTTTTCTCCAAACAACGCAGAAATACCTCTAGAGACGAGTGGAGCATGAATCAACATTCAAACACCCAAATTTGGGTAAATTTAAGCAAATATCATCCATTTTTGTGTAAGGAAATACATATAAATAAAACAGAATTTTGACTGTTTTTACCCCAAATTTCGGCCAAATTTTCTTCTCAAAGGCACATCTGTTCCCAAATCGAATTGGAATGTGTTCAGGGTTACCTTAGGCATCTTTCCTGCAAGTTTTAAAGAATTTCATTTTTTGCCCAAAATTGAAAAAAATACAAGGGGTTAGCCTTACATTTTTAACCAAATTTGGCCAAAAATTGACTTTTCTCCAAACAACGCAGAAATACCTCTAGAGACGAGTGAAGCATGAATCAATATTCAAACACCCAAATTTGGGTAAATTTAAGCAAATATCATCCATTTTTGTGTTAGGAAATACATATAAATAAAACAGAATTTTGACTGTTTTTACCCCAAATTTCGGCCAAATTTTCTTCTCAAAGGCACATCTGTTCCCAAATCGAATTGGAATGTGTTCAGGGTTACCTTAGGCATCTTTCCTGCAAGTTTTAAAGAATTTCATTTTTTGCCCAAAATTGAAAAAAATACAAGGGGTTAGCCTTACATTTTTAACCAAATTTGGCCAAAAATTGACTTTTATCCAAACAACGCAGAAATACCTCTAGAGACGAGTGGAGCATGAATCAATATTCAAACACCCAAATTTGGGTAAATTTAAGCAAATATCATCCATTTTTGTGTTAGGAAATACATATAAATAAAACAGAATTTTGACTGTTTTTACCCCAAATTTCGGCCCAATTTTCTTCTCAAAGGCACATCTGTTCCCAAATCGAATTGGAATGTGTTCAGGGTTACCTTAGGCATCTTTCCTGCAAGTTTTAAAGAATTTCATTTTTTGCCCAAAATTGAAAAAAATACAAGGGGTTAGCCTTACATTTTTAACCAAATTTGGCCAAAAATTGACTTTTCTCCAAACAACGCAGAAATACCTCTAGAGACGAGTGAAGCATGAATCAATATTCAAACACCCAAATTTGGGTAAATTTAAGCAAATATCATCCATTTTTGTGTTAGGAAATACATATAAATAAAACAGAATTTTGACTGTTTTTACCCAAAAATTTCGGCCAAATTTTTTTCTCAAAGGCACATCTGTTCCCAAATCGAATTGGAATGTGTTCAGGGTTACCTTAGGCATCTTTCCTGCAAGTTTCAAGAAATTTCATTTTTTGCCCAAATTTTAAAAAATACAAGGGGTTAGCCTTACATTTTTAACACCCAATTTTCGGCAGACGTAGGCAAAAATCATCCGTTTGGGGGAGGAAATACACGCAAATAAAAAAAAGAATTTGAGTGTTTTTACCCCAAATTTTCGGCCAAATTTCTTTTCACAGACAAATCTGTTCCCAAATCGAATTGGAGTGTGTTCAGGGTAAACTGAGCCATCTTTCCTGCAAGTTTCAAACAATTTCATTTTTTTCCCAAAATTGAAAAAAAAATACAAGGGGTTAGCCTTACATTTTTAACCAAATTTGGACAAAAAATTACTCTACCCCAAACAACCCAGAAAAGAGTTAACAATTTTTCCTAAAGTGCACAGTAAAATGTTAATGCTACCTCTTTCACTGCTGACAACAGCAAAATGTACACAATCATTCAACCAAACAAACCAACAAACACCCAAACAAACAGAACGTGGACACAAATTACAAATACAAAATTACAACATATTTTTCTGATTAAATCCTATATTTTTATTATCAAATTTCTAAAAAAAAAGACAAACTGACAGACCTACAAGTAAAGACATGCGTTCCTTGTACGTAAACGTGTTTCTGAGTTTACTGTAGACAAAAAAACTTTGACTGAAATATTGCAATATTTGTTTTCAGTGTTGCTAAAACTGTTAAAAAAATAATATTGATTGAAAAACTGTACTTGTTATACCTGTCTTTTGAAGTAGGATACGAAAGAAAATAACAGATGAATACATATGGTTGCTAGGACTAAGGAAAAAAATGAAGTATCCAGACGCCACTTCTTTGGTTGTGTAAAAAGTCTATGGAGAGTTGCATGCAAGTATTTTCTAACAAACTTGGAAATGCTTCTCAGTCCCAGATTCATGTTTTTTCCACATTTTTGTGATGTCTGTCCTTCATGGAGATAAAACATGGTGAGAAAAAGTGGCATCAGGATGCGACTATTTTCCAGGACAAAACATATAATACCTATTTCTCAATATTATTAAAGAACATTGCTAAAAAGCACATCTAAGACATTCAAAAAGACACTGGACATGTACATCTATTATTGACAAATATTTCTTATATATATGCTCATCGATAGCACCTGCATGAAAGACCCAAAAAAACATAAAATATAGATTTGTCTGAATTATAAAAACAAATATACATGTAAAGGGAAACACTTTCTGACAATTAAAAATTCTTGTTGATGCTTTGTAAAATGAAAGAAAAAAATTATTGTCCACTTATTGTACATGTATTATCAACTTTAAAATCTTTGCATATTGTAGAGAAATATATTTCTTACATTCTACAGACTTAAATTAAAAAATATTCATTTGAAAAGTACAGACGGGAGTAAAAATTTGAAAAAAAAAAGAAGTTTAAAAAGGTTTATGGAAAAATATAGAGTCATATTATGTACAAAACTGTCATGCCACAAAATGAGAATATTTCTCAAGTTAAGCCCTGCGATGGTTAAAGCAAAAAGCTCAAAATTGTAGGATTTAGTCACGTCCATAATTTTGAACCTGTTTCTGCACGTGGGCCTAATGACAGGCAATAACGAGAGAGGTTTTATTTTGGGGGCGGGGCTTGAGTTTGGGGGGGGGGGGAAGTACCACCCCTGGTGTTTCACTACGTACTGAACTGTATTTCAGCCTGCGAGATGGAGGCCTCTGGTTCCGTTGGTGCGTCCGCCACGTTATCATTGACCTCTAAGGCCACGGTGTCAGAGGTCATGGCCTTGTTAGTGAATGATGACCCTGCAGGGTGCATCTCAATCTCCATCTCATTGGATTCAACCGGCAGAGTTCCCTTCGATTCTCTCCTTTTTTCCTTTCTCCTAAAATGAGATGTAAATATCTCAGTTCAGACAATGCCATTCTAAAATACTCGGGGACAGTTCCACCAATTGACAAACGTATTAGATGAATCCATACAAACATAGAGTGCTTCGGCAGTTTTGGGCGGTACAGGGAGTAATAGGCATATTAAATACATAATATTAAATCTGCCGGATTTTCGTGTAGTTTACAATTTCCAAATTTTCTTTCTTTTCAAGTTTTTCTAAAATGTTAAGGACTACATTTATTCTAGAGGGGGCACTCAATGGTTTTGGTCTGGATTCCAGACAAAAACACCTTGAATTTTCCGCTTATCCAAACTCCAAGCAGGGTTTTAGGGGCAGATCCTCAGTAAGGGTGGGGGAGGGGCAGTTTACATCAATGTACCCCAAGGAGAGATCAGATCAATAGATTGACTTACCTGCAAACGCAGCAAATGACGCAGATGATGACAGTGATCAGTGGGAAGAGTAGCAGTACCCCTACCATGGCATAGACTATCAGCTCGGTACGGGGGAGACCACCGCTTGGATTGGTCTTGTTGGGATTCCGAGTCGAAAATGGAGCTGAAACAGAAAAAAAAATTGACCAGAAATAAATATACTACTTGTATGATAGATCAATGTGTAGAATAGGATTTCAGGCTTTGCCTGGTGGCACAACGGTATCAGTGTAAGTTCACAAAAATATGAAGGAATAAAATTTGTTAACATAGCTTGAGAAATTTGAAATCGGGGCTTGTACAAATCACAACAGTGGCCAATTGCCAAATGTAAACTATCTCATTCTCCTCTGTGTAGCCAGCCAGGTATGATTAAAACCCATCCTCTGAGTGCCATCATGTGACTTATGTTTCTATCTGCCTCTCTGAGAATGAACAAAAGTATTAAGACAATGGTAGCTCCCTTTGCATTGGCAAAAATGACAAAGTAAAATTGTACATAACATCCTCATCTGACATTTCATTCACATGAGGGCACCGATAAAGAAAATCATGTTTTTGCTTTACATCAAACTTTAAATGTAGACCACCGAAAAACTGAATAAATATCGAAGCTAACGACCCACTTTCAAATATTACAGAGGCATTTATCACATTTTAAAATAGTTGGACAATATACTCCTCAAGGCAAATATAACTGACTGAAGCAGGTTTTATGTAACCTGGGAAATGGCCCCTCCACATCACTCAGATAGGATGGATTTGTTGTTTCACTTACGTTTAGGGGTGGATTTGTCCTGCCTTTCTCCAACCAGCCACCAGGAAAGATGAGGGGCAGTAAAACTCCAGTACACTAGCAGATCCTGGTCTATGGTGATGAGTCCTGTGCCGGCTTGTTCCCAAAAAGCTGAGGAAAAACAGGTTTTTTTTATTTAAACATTTTTGACATTTCAAAACTAGGAGTTGGGGCTGTGCATTGGAACTGGATGCCTGAGCACTAGACTGCTCAAGTCAGGAACCGGTTTCAGATTATGGAATCAAGTACCCATAACCAACTTTACATTTTACTTAGTAAGTTATCAGACAATGAAAAAGAAAGGTTCTGAATTTCATACGTTGAGATTTTCAGAAAGAAAGCCAGGCTATACAAGGAAAAGCAAAAACAGATTTGCCATTTCCTCCAATGTTCCAAAAGTTTTACCTGTTGTCTCATTAAAGGTCCAGATTTCAACCTCCATCCCATCTTTGACGTTCAAGCCTTGTTCCAGCGGCACCATCATATCCACGTTCCCATCGACCGGGAGTACAGCCCCGGAGTCCTGGTCACTGATGGTTAGCTCTAGCGCCCCCAACGGCCTGAGCTGGTCCAGGTTGGAGCTGCCCGCAGCGACCATGTTGGTTGCCGGGATAAGAGTGAGGTCAGAGGTCAGGATGTAGCCAGCGTTGATGGTTTTGCCGTTGAGCAGTGCGGGGTTGAACTGGAACATGGCTTTCTGGCCATAGTCTATTAAGAGAACATCAACAACAAACATGTATAACACAAAAACAAAATGAGAGTGTCCTGCGCAATGTTTTAGTTTTAAGATATCACTGAACAGAGCAGAACAGTATTAACCTTAAAAATAGTCATGTGACCATGCCTGGTCTCTGGCACATGCTTCCACAAACTGCGAGTGAAGTGGACACAAATAAAGTTTCAAGATTTTCAAAGAACAAGAGCTACAGATCATTTCCAGCCATCATGGAGATGTGTGCTTTTGCTCCACAAGGAGCAAAACTTACTGGTCACACTTGAAAAAACTTGGATCACTACTCAATGCTCTCACGGACCTATATGCTTCATTCAGTTAACGGATTTATAAAGTAATTTTGTTCTTGTTTGATTAATAAAAGCCCCTGCAGATACGCAAACTCACCATTGAAGTCTGTTTGGATTATCACTTCGTCTCCAACTATCTCCACAGTTGCTTGCTTGAGTTGTAACAATTTGACTTCAAAGGCTGAAAAATTGAAGAGTTTAGTCCTTTTCTTTTAAAACTTGGTTTCCAGTGAACAGCCAGTTATAATGTTACATAACTTTTCGAGACACATGTTTGAGAGACACATGCGTGATTTAAAACTCAGGGGTCTTAGTTATGTGGAAATTAAAGCCCACAAAACATAGCCTATCTGGGTCCATCTATCTGCCAACAGCACCCATTATTAGACAGTTTGAGGGATTGGGGTAGGGTGGAGGAGGGGGGTAGGGTGGGAGGTTAGGGTGGGGATGGGAGTGGGGGTAGGGTGGGGGTGGGAGTGGGGGTAGTGTGGGGAGGGGGATAGGAGGTGAAATGAGGTGAGGCCTGGGGCTAGGTCGGGATTAGTGTAGAGATAAACATCATCTGACACTAGGAAGTGGGGAGAAGGGCCTTTGCTGCTCAATGTCGAAAGAAATGGACCCAATCTGGCCAGGTGGCACTGAAAAAAAAAGCATTAACAGAGGAACATGATAATAATGCCATACCTTCTGTGTCACCTCTGCTCCAGCGAATGGCATTACTGGTGAAACCTGTCTTGCTGACGATAACTCCTAGACTCCCATTCTGGGGGATTATACTGGTGACATCCACAACGTTGGTCATGATAGGAACTGTTGAGGTCTTGGAATCGCCTCCTGCGATATTTGTTGTGACGGTGGTATCATACAGGGGGTTGCTTTGGGCATCAAGGATTGTGATCTTGAGATTGACTTGGATGAAGCCATCAGGAGGAGGTGGCTGGGAAGAAGGGGGCTTGGTTGAGGGGAGTTGAGTGGAAGGGGGCTGGGTTGTTGGGGGCTGGGTTGATGGGGGCTGAGTTGGGGGTTGGGTTCGAGGTTGGGTTGGGGGTTGAGTTGAGGGTGGTTGGGTTGGGGGCTGAGTTGGGGGTTGGGTTGGGGATTGGGTTTCTGGTTGGGTTGGGGGCTGAGTTGGGGGTTGGGTTGCTGGTTGGGTTGGGGGCTGGGTTGGGGGTTGGGTTGCGGGTTGGGTTGGGGGCTGGGTTGGGGGTTGGGTTGGGGGTTGGGTTGGGGGCTGGGTTGGGGGTTGGGTTGGGGGCTGGGTTGCTGGTTGGGTTGGGGGTTGGGTTGCTGGTTGGGTTGGGGGCTGGGTTGGGGGTTGGGTTGGGGGTTGGGTTGCGGGTTGGGTTGGGGGTTGGGTTGGGGGCTGGGTTGCTGGTTGGGTTGGGGGTTGGGTTGCTGGTTGGGTTGGGGGCTGGGTTGGGGGTTCCGTTGGGGGTTGGGTTGGCGGTTGGTTTGAAGGGGGTTGGGTCGAGGGGACCTCAGTTGGGTTGGTTGTATTGATTTGAGGAGTTGGGTATGGGGGCGGGATGCTTGGTGGGGGTGGAGGGAATGTTGCATTTGTCACAGTTTCATTCATCTGAGGAGTGGGGTATGGGGGTGGGATGCTTGGTGGTGGAGGAGGGAATGTTGCATTTGTCACAGTTTCGTTCATCTGAGGAGTGGGGTACGGGGGCGGGATGCTAGGTGGTGGAGGAGGGAACGTTGTATTTGTCATAGTTTCGTTCATCTGAGGGGTGGGGTATGGAGGCGGGATACTTGGTGGGGGTGGAGGGAATGTTGCATTTGTCATAGTTTCGTTCATCTGAGGGGTGGGGTATGGGGGAGGGATGCTTGGTGGTGGAGGAGGGAACGTTGTATTTGTCATAGTTTCGTTCATCTGAGGAGTGGGGTATGGAGGTGGGATACTTGGTGGGGGTGGAGGGAATGTTGTATTTGCCATAGTTTCGTTCATCTGAGGAGTGGGGTATGGGGGCGGGATACTTGGTGGTGGAGGAGGAAACGTTGCATTTGTCATAGTTTCGTTCATCTGAGGAGTGGGGTATGGGGGAGGGATACTTGGTGGGGGTGGAGGGAACGTTGTATTTGCCATAGTTTCGTTCATCTGAGGAGTGGGGTAAGGGGGCGGGATACTTGGTGGTGGTGGAGGGAACGTTGTATTTGCCATAGTTTCGTTCATCTGAGGAGTGGGGTATGGGGGCGGGATGCTTGGTGGTGGAGGAGGGAATGTTGCATTTGACACAGTTTCGTTCATCTGAGGAGTAGGGTATGGGGGCGGGATGCTTGGTGGGGGTGGAGGGAACGTTGCATTTGTCACAGTTTCATTCATCTGAGGAGTAGGGTATGGGGGCGGGATGCTTGGTGGTGGTGGAGGGAATGTTGTATTTGTCATAGTTTCGTTCATCTGAGGGGTGGGGTATGGGGGTGGGATGCTTGGTGGTGGAGGAGGGAATGTTGCATTTGCCATAGTTTCATTCATCTGCTGAGTGGGGTATGGGGGCGGGATGCTTGGTGGTGGAGGAGGGAACGTTGCATTTATCATAGTTTCATTCATCTGAGGAGTGGGGTATGGGGGCGGGATGCTTGGTGGTGGTGGGGGGAACGTTGCATTTGTCACGGATGTTGGTGTAGGAGTGGTCATGTTGCTCTGAGGGGTTGGGTATGGGGGAGGGATGCTGGGTGGAGGAGTAGGGAATGTTGAATTCTCTGATGGTAGCTCAAGAGTGGTGAAGACAGTTGTGGTTTCGTTGCAGGAAGGTCCGCCCCAGTCTGGACTGCAGAAGCACTCATTCTCACTAGTGCAAACCTAGTATTAAAGAGATAACCCAAATAAAATGAAATAAAAATACGATCTTCAATCCCCACACCAAATCCTAGAGTTTTAAGACCTGAACAAACATTTTGAATATCTGAAGAAGTTTCCAACTTTTCAACAGCCAATTCACCCACCAAAAAAAACCATCTAGTCTAAAAAGTCAACAATATCTCTGACACCAATGTGTTACCAGTGTGCATCAAAATAAATCTTTTACAAAATGTTACTATAGAGTCCTCCAAGTTTCGTCAATGATCTTTGAAAGGGCCTGTTTTTGTCATAATTTGTTTTGACCCCGATCTATTTCCAATTGTTGGATGCACACTTACCCCATTCCCAGAGCAGATTTCACCATCTTCATCAGTTGGGCAGGGTGGTATTCCCAGAGACTCCAAGGGAACACATTCAAAACCCATGCACACCTGTTAAAAATGAACATCAGGAAACTCTGGCTGTTAATAAGGATATTGGTAATTTAATATGATCAAGAACAAGCTCGATAAAGAAATACAGATTGAATTCATTCTGTGAATTTTTGATTATCAAATTGATTTTGTAAATTAGTTCTTAATCTTACACACCCACACATCTTTAAGTGTATAAAGCTGTTACAAAATTTCCTGGTAGTCTTTGCAATGAGCGCGGTTTTTGTTGAAAGAGTGGGCCACAGTGCCAACTCACTGAAAGTAATGTCCAGTTTGTCAAGACAGTCAAAGCAGAATGTAGTAAAGTAAGGCTTCCCCCTTCCTTATGTTGCAACGTTTGCACTGAATGCTCAGCTTTTTCTTACAAATGATTAAAATCTTTGCTTTGGTGGTGTCTGAACCAAGAATTTGCTGCATTCTACTGCAATCATCACATATAATTGACTACAAACTCCCATCTGCTGGCTAAACACAAATGCAAGATATTGCCATCATTAAATAATCCAGAAAGTATCATCCTACTTACCATTCCATCATCGCACTTTGTGCCATCTGCCACATTTGCCGGATTGAGGACATCGGATTGGCTAGGGTCTGATACCCACAATGACCTGTGCGGATATTTAACAGGGAATGAAGCAAAGTCATTTCTAAAATGTTGGGGTCCCCTATCCCCGTTACATCTGACTTCTATGATTTTATAATTCTGATTCACTCCTTAATGCAGCCATCCTCCAAGAGTAATTATGAATAGAAATCTACCTGCTCAACTAAAAAATTGTTTGAAGTCATTCTTATAGATATTTGAATGGTAAAGTACAAAGTACATGGTAACAGGGACAGGATAAATATCACACTTAGGACCCCAGATTTATAGAATGACCACTTTTGCCGTTTGTTCCGGTTTAGTGAACTATCTGTGAGTATTCAAAATACTTGAGAGTAATTTCGCATCAAGTACTCGCATTGAAGAATTCACTACTCGCCCCACACTGAAATACTTACACACAGTACAGAGCAAAGGTGTTGCCTCGTGGAGACATGCCGAATGGGAAGAAGGAGAAGGCGGTGTTGGTGCAGTGAAGAAGACCACACTGCTGCCTGTCAATCGCAACAAAAGCAGAACTTTAAGCATACTTGAGGGTATCTCATTATTGGAATAAGTGAACAAGTTTTCCGGGAAGTTCGGCCGATTCACAATGGCTATTCACTGGAAGATTTTATTGCATCTATATTCTATACACAATGGGTGGGAGTAAGTCAATTTGTTGGAGTACAGGGTAATCCTATACAATAGCACTGCCCAGCTCTTCTCACAAGTGACACTGAGTCAGTCAGTCAGTGAGATAGGTACAGAGAGAACTCTAGGCTGGTCCTCTCCGACCAGCAAAAAAGAAATTTTTCAATAAGTAGCTGAAAATCTTTCTTTTCATGAAACAGAATTTGATAGTTTCAGGGTTACCGCGGCAATCTTGAAATAAAAGTCCATAAATTTTCCAGTACAAAATAAGGGCTTTGCTGTTTTCTCATCTTAGGAGCCTATTGGTTGGATGAATTCTTACCCTGAAGTAGTGCAGGGGGAGTAGGATAGCTCGTTATCGCCGATGGAGGTGTATCCGCAGTGACCGAACGGGAAACTGCCGATGGTGTTGAGAGTCATGCACCCATCTCCCAGTGTAGCACCTTCAGGAATGAGGAAAAAATAGAAGTTCCTAATTGAAATACTGACAAAAGGAAACTATTGGGGACAAAATTTCTGGGGTTTTTTTGGGAGGTGAGCAATGGTTGATAGGGTCAGCAATTCTCTGAGGCTGTTTCAGATTTGGGAGACAAACGTCAATATTTAAAGTTTTTCTGGGAATTTATAATCATGACATTGAGTAAATTTTGCTTTGTGGGAAAAAAAGTGTTAGTACTTGGGTTTTTGCCTTCACCATTATAAAAAAAATAATGTTCTGTGTGTGATGGGAAAACAAAATATTGTGAGAACTTTAAAGTTCACAATTTTGAGTCTAAGTGGACTTTGAAGAGTATAGGGGAAATTCAGTTTTTGGATTTTTGAATATTTAAAAAACCTGGATGAAATAATAAACGAATAAACTTGAAGAGTATAGGGGAAGTTCAGCTTTTGATTTTGGAATATTTGAAAAACCTGGGTGAAATAATAAACTAATAAACTTGAAGAGTATAGAGGAAGTTCAGCTTTTGATATTGGAATATTTGAAAAATCTGGATGGAATAATAAACTAAATTATTTATTTATAAATATGTAAATATACATGTGCAAGTCTTCCCTTCCATAAACACAGGTATTATGAAACAACAATGTTTTGATTTGTACAAGTACAACGACGACATTCACATATGGGGAACTGCCAATATGGGGCTGGATAGCTCAATTGGTAGCTAAACCAAAACATAATCCGGTGGTCGCAGGTTCAAACCCCGCTCCAGTCAATTTCGTTGTTCAACTTAAAAAAGTTAAATGTCAATCAGTACTACATACCTGTTCCCCAAATGTCCTTGCACTGATCGTCACTTGTCGGGCAGAGTCCATTGTAACAATATCCCTACGGACAAAAAACCCACAGAATCATGAGTTTATTCCACAATTCCCAACAAATTTAGACACTGAAAATACGAAGTTGAGAATAAATTTTTAAAAATACATCTTCGTGACACTGACTCTCATACCAGTACTGTGTCTGTTGTAAATCTTGTAAAAAAGGAAGAACTCTCACCGTATCATTTTTGCAAGGCATTCCGTCTTGAATGAAGATGTTGTCAGGGCACTGTAAAGGAAAACAGATTTTAAGAGGAATTTGGGCTAAAAAGTCATGGGTCACCTCTGTTGTGGTGTTATCTTAGTGACAGCTTTTGTTTACAAAACTGCCCTATAGACAATAAAAGTTCGAGACAATTTCCAGTTGGAAATGGCCATTTTTAATTCTGAGTGAAAGTGTGCTGTTCTTACATTGATACTTGTATTGAACCTCTTAAAAGGATATTTTTCCGATTTTTGACTTTCCTATGATTTGGGCTGATATTGGAATGTTGCATGTAATTACATTATACTTACATTACCAGAGGTACCAGAACACATCTCAGCGACGTCGCAGTCATTAATGCTCTCTCTGCATGACGTCGTGGCCGGTAAAAACTAAACCACAAAAGAGGAGGAAAAAGCTAGAAATAATACTTATGGTCTTTCACAAAAAAAATATTTTATATTTTTAAAAAATGTGCAAAAAATTAAGACACAAACATTAATAATCGCCTAAAATAGTCACATCAAAAGGTAATTAAACAAAAAAGTTTTGAAATATTTAAAAATTCTTCACTGGAATTTCCAACTCAACATTTTTAATTTTTCGCACATACATGATTTTAGGTTAAAATTCCTCAAATCTGAATTAAAATGAATGGAACAAAATTCAATTCAAATAATATTTACCTGGCAGTTACTGCAGCATTCTCCTGTATGACACTCACTGCCAGAGGTCAGCTGACAGGTCGCGGGGTCACAGCAGGGGTCATCAGCGCACTCCTGCAAGACAAAATATTGTGCGTCAACAAACCCAGCTTTGTCTGCAGCAAAAATTATGTGTTTCTTATCAAGCGCTCGTATTTACCAGTATTGGTGCTCAAGACGCTACATCATTGTTTATACCCCTGCTCGATCATGGGGAAGGAAACCCCTCCCACCTCCCTGGATCCCCCATTGCCTTCATTAATAAGATGAATAAATCCAAGCAATCAATTTAATTACCTCGGGTGTTCCACAGTCACAGGTTTCCGAGGATTCCACGATGCCGTTTCCACAACTTTGAAAGGTCACCAACTATGAATTCACAATAGAAAAAAAACAATAGCAAAGTTCATATCTTGTGACCATGGAGCTTGTTTACAGAGATTTAAAAAAAAAACGATTCAGATTCAAATGAAAAAGACTAATCAAAGTTGTATTAATTTTATCGAAGTTTAAGGCAATTCATACCTCATCTGGTTGGGGGACATTGAAGAGGCACGGGTAGAAGCCGGCTCTCAGATGATCCTCAAAGGCTTCAATACTGCACTCAGAAAACTCTGTAGGAGGCTTGGGGCTCCAGTTCCTGTTGGGACAAAAAATATTTACTCAAAACTAGTGTCAAGCAATTGTTGTACTGGATACATCTGGTATAAAAATAAATACTTATGAGCTCACAAAAGCCTAGTAAAGTGGTCCTGGCTTTCAAGTAAAACCAGATGCAAAGTAGGAGAAAAATAGGATAAAATTTTTAAAAATAAACAGGGCAAAAAAGTACAACTTTGAAGGACAAAATCAGGATAGTAGGACTTCTGCATGCTTTCAGTAGTTTTCGTTGATACTCACCCATGTCCACAGCATTATAAACCTCATTTGTTTTTCCCATTCATTGTTTTTTTTCCACTGATCAATGTAGATTTTTCTTTTTACCCATTACCATTTGAGATGTTTATATCACTTCTAAAAAGCCACTTTTACTTCTCTTAACTTTCAAAATCCTACCCAGAGATCACATATTCCTAAATTTCAAAGGTAATTTTTTTTTGTATTTTTAAAATAGTTATCAAACTATGTAAAAAGCAAAAAAAATGGAGAAAAAAACTTACACTGGTTGTTGGTACATCACACAGCTTGCTGCTTGGCCCTTACAAGTGCATGCTAAGCGGGGGAAATAATACGGAGGTCAAGTTAAAGAAATCGCAAATTGGAAATTGTGACCTGCGTCAGTAGCTATAAACACAGAAAATTATTGAACATTAAAAAAAAATACTTGTGTAAATATTGTAAGTTAAAATGGCACCTAATACAGGGTGTGACTGGTTTTCAGCTGAGTTTTGTATTTTTGATGAAACTTGGCCAAACTCCTAAAATGAATACTTTTAGGTGATGAAACACCTTTTTAAAAAATTTCATTATGTACATCAATAAATGGTTTTAACCAATTAGCACCTGTATTACATTGTACTTGTGTTTATTTCCTGAAGAATTGACAAAAGCAGAGAGTGCTCGAGGCATTTTGGGCGGTACAGGGCGGTTGGTGGTGGTTCAGGGACTAATAGGATAAGGAAGATTTCAATTTTCTACTTTTAAAACTCTACTTAGAATGACTGAAAATCAAACAAACTTTTAGATCCTCTGGTGTAGAAGTCATCATTGTAGATGTACAGATTATGGCCGATGACGTGTGCCAAAATAGCTGGGGTGAGAGAATCAGAGATATCCTGCAGAAAAATGGAGACAATGTTCAAATGAAAGCAACAAATATAATAGTGAGAGTAACTACATCAAATTGGGGTATTAAACTTGAGGCATATCACTGCATGCAAAAGAAGCAGCTAATCTTAATCTTTGATCCCTGGCCTTGCAGGTACCCATTTGTTTGTCCTCGGTGGTAAGAGGCAATCGTAGTCAATCGTCTTGTCTAATAAGAAATATCTTACCCTGTCAGGGTTTGAACCAAGTACCATTGCATGTGAGTTGGACACCATAACCACTGACCAAGGAGCTTGTTGAGGAGGACCCATGCTTAAGAGTCCATTCAATGAAATATTAGAGATTGTTTTGATAATTACCTGAGCCAAGGAAACTGCTTTCTCGGTACAGACTGAGTTTTGTCTGCTGGTGCCATAGTAAGACAAGGAACTTACTGCGCTGGTACCTCTGCAAGAAAAAACAAAAACAACGATGAACAAACTTCAGATTGCTATATTTATATCATGTCTTGGATGCTGTACTTTCATTGGTCTAGAACAGCTTCAGGTCCAGTCTAAAAAACATACTTCATGTACACTGCGTTGCATTTTACCTCATGTTTACTGCAGTGCATATATAAATTACCTAATGTACACTGCACTGCATATAAATTTTCTTGTATACACTGCACTTACAGGAGCAGGTTGGCCACGTCAAATCGCACCGTGTCAGAGACGTTGGTGTCCACGATGTACTGATAGAAGTTGTTCAAGGTGACGTGGAGATTGTCTGAGACTGTGATGGGTTCTTCAACGCCGTCCCAGAGCTCAACATAGGTCAGGACAAGACGGACATTCATCGGCCGGAAATACTGAAGGAAGAAAAACATTCGAAAATATTGATAAAGAAACGAGTCTTGAAAGACGTGGTTCCAAAATCCTCTAAATACATAAGTATGCATCCTGTTTGAAAACCACTCCAAAAAACCATATCAAACACACTAATATAAAAACAAATTGAGCCTATGAATGGTATAACTTACCATGTCTGCCTGGTTGACAACATCCAGCACCCGTACAAAGGCAGAATTGGCACTTCCAAACTTGCTAATCTGTGAAAATTAACACAAATATTATTTCACGTGTCATATTCTCAGTTAAAGAGTATCCTTTAACTTAAATTACTCGGAATTGCTCAAGTTGAATACACTTTCAGAAGTCCACAGTTAAACCTGTTTGCACTGTGGCTAAGAAACTATAATTTCTTTATTCTACAAAATATGTCATTGTTAAAAAACCAAATGGAGCATTTTTGGTTTTTCAAGCATAATATGAACACAAAACTTTAAACAGGTCATTGTAACACTGTGCTATAAAATACTAACCCCCCAAATCCATCCATTACTGAAAATTACAGCAAAAGTAAATGGTGTACTAAGTCATGATAGCGGGGCTACTTGCTGCAAAATCCTACAAAAAACATCAAGTTTAATTTTTGAAGGATCTACATGTAGGAGATTAACAGTTGAATGTATGAGCCTTAACTTGTATGCTAAATGGACAATATCTTCTAGTTTTTATCACAATTTTTTCCTGGAATTTTTTTTGATTCTTGAAAGGATATCAGTCGATGAGAGGCAAAATTTTACAACTTTGTTTCGCAGGAAAAGGTTGTCAAATGCTTCATTACTAATTTTTTTTTTACCATGCTTGCAGAGCAGAAGATTCCAATCTCCAGATACTTGGCTTCAGAATCCACGTCTCGTCTCATCTACAATTAAAACAAAAATTAGAACAGACATTTGTTTTACCAATTCTCACAGACTTCTTTTAACTGCCGTAGAATAATTACCCACTTGAAAACACTATTTCTGGTTTGTCTCACCCTTCTGTGATGAGATTCCGTTGTTTTCTTCTGCAATTCTTCTTCGAAGAGCATTTCGTCCTCTGATACATCAGGATGAATTTGTGCATCAGAATCATCTAAAAGAAAAAAAAAAAAATGTCTACATAAAATAGTCCTGACACAAAAAAGTAGGATTTTTCTATCAAATTCTATTTTTAAATTTGGGTTTTGTTACCCATGAAATAAGATTTCACAAATTAAAAAGTTTATTGTCAACTAATACTAAACCTATAATTTAATTTTTTTTTATTTAAATATTAATTAACAAGTTTTAATTAGATTAAAATAGATGATCATCGGAAATATGATGTCCATTAAAATATAAAGTTTATGATGGTGAGCCAAAAAAAGGTGAAAATGTTACTTCTGAAATACAACACTTACCTTTACGTGTTTCTGGCTGCACTTTATAAAGAACGTGAAGTTGTCTTGTCTGACATTGAAAAAAAAATATCAAAAGGAAAATGGGTGAAATATTAGGCATAAAAAATGGTAAAATATTACAAACTCTTCGTCTTAGTTTTCAAAACCAACCTCATAGATCTTTCTAAATCCTCGAAGTGCTACATGTTTATAGGATCATGCTTTTTGTGCCATAATAACACCACTCAAAATCCAGAGAAGAATGTTCAAAACTTAAACCTGTTCAAGTTTCAGCTCAGTGGATATTCCACTTTTCGAGAAAACAGTGAAAAAAATGCACATTTTGTTCACGTACATGCAGCACTCTTTCCAAAAATCTGTACTGAGCTCTAAATGACAGCAAGTCAGACGGAATAATTTCACGGGGTGTTTAGTGCCAGTAAGATCTTTAATCCAAGCCTTTTGATAATAATTTGGTAGGTTAGGCCTACATTTGGGATAAATGCAAATGATCCTATATGCCTTTATATGCACCAGATTTATTTCAGTATAGGGTGTGTTAATAATCTGGCCCAATTTCACGGCGCTGCTATAAGCACACAATTTTCTGCTAACAGAGCCTCCGTCTATTTCATGGAGCCTAACGTAAGCATAAGCACAGCAAAAGGCACGCTTACTTCAGAGTAAAAAATTTGCTTAACTTAGTGATGTAACAATAGAAATGTCCATGCATGCGTGACTGTTAGCACGTCCACGCTGTGAAATAGTGCCGAAGGTTAGCAAATTTTTCTGCTATGCTAAGCACAACTTTTCTGCTAACTGTTTAGCAGCGCCATGAAATTGGGCCCTGCTAGTACACTGACAAACCACAAGAACTGTTGATAGTAATGCAGAAAAGATCATTATTGGCAGGTGATCTGCCAGACCTGGCAATGCAACCACATGTACTGTACTTTCAGACTGCCAAACAATAAACCATTGAAGAGTATTGCTCTAGGAATTTTGTAAACACTAACATGCTAAACTGTGTTTTGACAATTCTGCACAGGTTGTAGGAATTATATTAACTGTAGCCTTGAATGGGGCAATTACATTGTGCAACCACATTTTGTGAGTGGCAAATGGGCTCAATCAGCCATCCATGGGGAATGTGGTGTTGGCACAACGTCAGTAAAAGACTGAGTTTATGGACATTCTCTGCAATTGTTGGTTATAAATGCACAGGGTACGTAAATGAACATTTTCAAAATGTGTTATGCCAAATGACGTGGATAGATGAATAAAGTATTTTTTTTTGGTGGCCATTACATATAGCTTATCGGAGAGGTTTTAATGAGATTGACCACCCATCAAGCAGAATAAAACCTTTCAATGGTACACTTTGTTCAGATAGCTTTGTGCTCAAACAAACAAAGCTCTAAATTTTTGCGGAAAAAATCACGAAAATAGTTTTGTAAAAATCAGTGCCCCCAAAAGTATAGGCCTACAAATTTGCAGGAATGGACTACATGTAGGTCATGTACAGTTTGTAGGTCAGTTCATGATGGGGACAGATTTTTAGTAGGAATAAATGCAAAGTAAAAAACAACAAAATAATTTGACGGGTTTGACTTGCATTGTTCACTTCATTCCACTCGTGGTGAATACAATATTGCTTCAATGTACTCGTGTGATGCAAAATTTTGGCAGAAAAAAATTGAAAACACACCAAAACCAAAAACCCTCTCACTTTCAGCATTGTGTTTTTGCCACTCAAGAGGAAGAACTTACCCCATTGTGCAGAGAAGAAAGAGGCTTGACTACGAAATGCTCTCCTTCTGTTACAATCGATCCCCTGCAATATAAATACACAAACCAAACTTCAAACTTTGATATTTGTGAAAGGAACGATCCATTAGGCCCCGCCCCTTGCTGTTTCGACCAATCACGGCCCATGCATGTATGATGGGCGTGACTGGAACATGCAGTGTGTTGTTGCCTATACATGTATGTGTAGTGGTACCCATTTACTCCTGGGTGGAGACAAGCAATGAGTGCCAAAGTGCCTTGCCCAAGGCACACTCCCATGACCCCAGGCTGGACTCGAACCCACAACCTGCAGAATTACCTGCAGACCACGAATTCAGAGCCCTTAACCACGAAGCCATGGCACTCCAGAAACAGGTACCAAGAGGTCTGCAGGCTGGCTCTCTGGGATCAGCAGCAGCCACAATTACTCGGGACATTTTTATTTGCTGTACAATCTGTCTGTTCTTTAAAAATGAGCAATATGTGTTCCAAGTCTTACCTTATGCCGTTGCAGGTATTAAGACTAACTGTGGATTGTGCCACGCCCCTGACCACACCCTGATAATGGCAGCTTGACCTCTGTTGAAACAAAGAACGTTCATCAGTGTGACAATTTCTTAGGTAAATTTAACAGATATCTAATATCAAATATCTTTTCAAACACAAATAAGTAATTCACTGCACTGCATTTGAAAATTGCAAAAATAATAACAAAACAAAAATGTTGGTAAAAAAGTAACCAATAAACAACAATAGTAATTCATTTTTTTTCCTTCCCGTTACACATGAATCTGAAGTAACACATCATTCAAACAGTGCAAGTAAGGCTGTGTAGCTGTTGTGTAGGTCTGAGACAATTACATAATGGGCACATGTTGACACTGTGGCTATAGCTCAGGAAACCGGTTTCATGTACAAAATTTTCCTTTTTACAAGAATGTAACGCCAACTTAGAATTAAAAACCACGTGGTAAGTCAAGAATTAAAATCAGTGACTGTCACTTCCTGGTAATGATCAACAGAGGGCAGTCTTTAATTACCTGGGTGTCATCCAAGACTCCATCTTTGGTGATGTGTTTTAACCTGACGCCGGCCCTGGTCAGGTCTCTGCATGCAGTCATGGTGAACACAAAAAGTAGACATGCAAATGTCATGCAAATGAGATGAAAGGTTAATTTGCATATTAGCATATTTTTTTTGCAACTGGAATTTAAAAAATTGATAAAAAAATGTTTTATTCCTTTGACCACAACCTTCTAAAATTGATTTTGACAAAATACATTTATGTTTACAATTTCAATATTTGTTTGGCAAAGTGCAACTTCTGTTGCCTTTATATATTTATTTTTATGTAATTTTCCAAAGAGAAACCTGTTTGATGATTTCAATAATCTTTTTATAATTTAAATCTTTTTACAGGAAATATTTTCTGGCAATATATTCAACAGATGACTACATATACATTGTACACGGCGAGATAATGACTCGCCAATCCTGCCACTCCCTCAGCAGACAAAAGAACTGTGATTGAATAAAAAAAAGATGCAGCCATGGTCGCTACGGCAACTAATGAATCAAGTCGACCATGATATGATAAATGCTGTCGCACATTTGTATACTGTGCTCCGAAAGTGTTATTCAGCCAATGACACACATTTTTGATTAACATTGTGTGCATATACTGTACATGCATAAGACATTCATGATGCGGAAAGCTACAGGGAAGCAGGATTAACATAGCACTGTGTGTATATATGTACGCAAATACAGCTTAAAGTCACAATCCCCACATATGCAATACATGTATGTGTGCCATTCATACATTCCAATGATCTGACGTGTGAGGCACCTCACTACAATCGGGTTTTCAGTGATCATAACCGTGATTTCCTGGCTGCTCCTAGATTAGTCATGCCTTAAACTGGATTAGTATCCGTTTATACTAATCCTCCTAATCCATGGATTACCTGTTGAGCAGCAGGTCCAGATGAAGCTGTGTGCTGCTTCCTTCTAATCTGATCTGTTTGGTACCTTTTTCCTGAAAATACAAACAAGACAGAGAAAATAAAACTAACAAAATATCAAACAATCACTTGGTCTAGCCCTTATTTGGTGCACAGATTATTTGGACCATTAAGTTTCTTGGTTGGTTGTTTAAACGACTGCCCTGTGCACAATAGTGAAACAAAAATTTAAGTTGACTATAATGAAGTAAAACCAGAAACTGCCAGAATACTTGACTAATACATTTCCCCCAATTTTTCCAAATTATGTCGAATACCGGTATTTTTATGATCATATTGAAAACATTTCATTTCTAATGAAATTGAAGTGAATACTCACGGTATAAAAGTTTCCTGTTTGCTGTCTGGTAAAATCACTATCTTCTGGGAAACTGGTGTAAACCAGTTCATACTGGTGTAGACTGGACAAAAGCTGTTGATCTGCTGAATTCTGGAAGAACTGGATTTCTGCAGGGGAAATCAAAATGGAGTGTCAAAGCAAGCAGTGAAGTAAACTTTCTCATCGTTTGCATGATAAAAAGGTTTTTATTTGACTTGCAAAACCAGATTCATTTGGAGTCTAAAAATAAATGTCATGTCAAAAAATTTTCACAAATTTTACAACAAAGTACTAGATAAAGATTACGTGTACTCTGAAAGCACCCAAACAAAAAAACACAAAATAAAACAAAATTAAGGACAAAATACTGGCTACAAAAAGTAGGACATGAGTGATCCGAAGCAAGATGAAAGCTGCAAGATGAAAGGAGCAAAATCAATCAGATTTTATTGAACAATTGTAAGATATTTTGTTTGAAGATCGTGGTAAATTTAAGATAGAATTAAAACATCATACATTGTACGTGAACCTTCTGGATTCACGCATTTTTTTTACTCCAAAACTTCAAACCATATTAATTGTACAAGAGAAAAACACATTGGTTGTATTCACGACAAATCTGAGAGAATTTACAGTCCAGAAAATCTATTGTCGCAGGGGTCAGGAATTATACATCTCTAGATGGAATAACTTTTCTGGTTGCCTTGAAGAAACGGCTCCAATACAGGGTCAACTCGGGACAAAACAGGTGGAAAATAAGTGGGCCCGAACCACCTGACCAAAATAACTGGTGTACACAGATACTGATTTTCAAATGTCCATGCATACGCGAATACTACAGTTCATACAGCATCTATAGCAAAATAATAGCAACTTCGAGGACTCCACTGCTATTTTCAGGAATGCAACTGGGAAGTCAACACAAAACAAAGGGAATTTGAAGCTTTACAAGACTTTTATACAGTATTTTTCAACTTTTAACCCTCTTTTTGTTTGATCTGTCTCAGACACTCAAAAAGTCATTCCATTTCCCCTTCCATGCCTTTGAGGCAGGCTAGTGTACTCTATCAACAGACAAAAGCAGGTAACTAGGCAAAGCCGGCTACTCTGACTGCTGGATGCCTGAATTTTATGAAAACCAACGCAGGAATTGAGCGTAAAATTCATACCCAATCCGAAAACACGCTCATTTTCAGTCGTCATACAAGTACTCTCTAAATTTCCACGAGTGAAACTCGGGACTAGAGAAAAATTTTCTGAGTGAAAATCACTCAAATTTTAGATCTGACAAAAGAATCATTTCAGTTGAAAATTGAGTGACAATTGTTTTTTGAGTGACTGAATTTCATTCTTTGTCCTGTTGTCCTGTACATGTAGTTTCAGTCCGATGATTTTTGACTTAAAAAGCGAGAGAATTTTCACTCTTCTGAAATAAAGAGTGTTCAGAAATCATATTAGAGATTTTCAAGCACACTGATACATATTTGTGGACACCCCTTTCTTTCGTCTTAGCTAAAGAACAGCCGAGTTTAAGATCGAAATTCAGGCTGCTCTCATTGAGCTACCCATATTTGGATGACAAACAGAGATCCATTGTCATGTAGTCAAAAAAAGACCTGACGTTTGGATCTCTACCCCACCAGGTATGCACAAATATGTATTCTAGCCAGCCGATGGTTTTAACAATGGAATACGTTAGTTCTATCCCAGCGGCTGGACAATGACAACCTGGCAAAGTACACAGGGGGAAGACTTTCCCTGGCACAGAAGATTATCCCCAAACAGGACATTATGTAAGAAAGCTGCTCACTCTCAGAAAACCCAACTCTTTGGAATCCTTAAAAATACACCACCAGGAGTTTTGGAGAATTTTGCAGGATTGAGGAAGATAAAACCCAACTATTACATGTACTTTAGAGAGGGCTTGATGGCCCTTGAAACTTGCCATTGGTTCCTAGAGAGAGTGGATAGTTGTAGGATGGAGGAAGGTTCAATGTAGAACCCAGTCAATATCTTGACCGGACCTTGAATTTTAACTTTTTGGAGCCCACTTACGTATCCAGCAATTACTCATTGATGATTTTTCAACGTTTAATTAATCAATACCCATTTTCAAACCTTGCTTAATTAAAAGGCAATTCAAGCGTCTCAGACACTGCCAATCAGAATTAATTTTTTGGTACTTTAGGAGCTCAAGCAATATAACCTGAAAATGTATTTTTCAAATTTTAAACATCCTTATCTATGGTCAAAGAGATTACAGACTAAATGTAGGAGATTTGGATCATTTCTCTGAATCATTTATCATGTTTAATTAACTGGCTCTGTCACAGACATTAAATTTTCTTCAGTAATGCTGAATTGCCCATGATTTTTTTTTCTAAACAGGAATCAATGAAAAGACTAACTTTATTAAATAATAATCTTTATAAAGTCTACATGTAACTTTAGGCCCCACAGTCAAAACAATTTCCTGTATAATTACGTCGCAGTCATGGTCTTTGTGATCGATCGAGTCATCGCAAGTCCATCCCAAGCCAGCCAACTTGTAAATTGACCCGTAAATGTACTTGTGATGCCTAGTTCCTGGACTAAGATTCTGTTTTCTTGAATAGAGACACAAGAGAATCAAAAGATATCTAAATTCTTTACATGGTTCCCTTGAACTTGAAGATAGAAAAAAGAAAGTACCAGAGGGATCCTGCACAACATGTTCCCATTTCTGGCACATGCTTTATAGGGAGCACACTATGAAGAGTTTACTTTTAAAATAAAAACCTATGGTTGTTTACTTAGATTTTATTTTATTTGTTGCGGGAACGCAGGCCAGGAGATCTCAATTCCACGCTCAGTCATGCAGTAAATTGCAAGGTGAATACTTTTATTCAATTTTCAATTCCACAATTTTGAAGCAACAAAAGGCCAGTGTCCTTCAACCTTCAGATTGCTTTGGCAAACTTTGCAATATGACAAAGCGTCAACTAATTTTGTGGGTTGGCACTGGAATGCAGACAAAGGGATGATGTGTGAAACGCTTTTTTTTAATTTTGGGAAGATTCGAACAGTTATCATTGAGATAACCCAGTTTGGTCTCTGAATTCGCTGAATGGTTGATTTAAGATTTTTTTTTACGAAAACATGGTCTTTTATGCAAACCAGTGGTATTAATCAATTTAAATGTCGTCCCGTGACTCAGAAGAATACCATTGAAATCTCAGCCCTGAAAAAGGACTGGTTGACCGACGATGACAGACGATACATGTATGCACAATTAACATTACCTTTCTAGCATTTTTGTAAAAGTTTTGTTTATTTCTATAGGCCTAATCTTTCTCTTGCAACTTTAGCTAGGTCTGAATTTTGAAAATGACAAAGTTAGTAGAAGAAAAAGCAGAACTTAGAGAAAAAAACTTTAGAAAAATGACAATCCCGTACAGTACATTTTGTAATTATTTCAGTCAGAATTAACTGATGCCTCTTCAGTGAATATCACACAGGTGTCATCTACACACTTTCTTTTTGCTGTATTTGTTAAAGAAGTTTTGCTGAGAGAATCTTTGTGTGATGGGTGTGGTCAAAGGGAGACCTGAATCACCCTAGTCATGCTATTGTCTGATTGTATCTGGAATGTTATCCCATATTATCCTCATCCTTGACTGCCTATTCTGTTCTTACAAGGACATCACAGGCAAGGGATGACAAAGTTGAGATGACTTTTCATTTTCAGGAATAGAATTTTTAACCCCTGTGTCGAATCATTGGCATCGCCCATGTAATTTATAAGTTCTATGAATTAACTGCCATTATTACGTCACATGAGGTCCTCAATGTAACTGTTTTCTTATTTTAAGGTTTGAAATCTAAGGTCCGAGAGCTTCTTTATATAACTGTCAAACATCTATTTTGTCAATAAAAAACATCAGAAGATTAGCTTTTGGAGTTTTTACTATCTAGTTCTTCCTCATGCTACTACCATGACTACAATCAAAAAAAGGGAAAGAAAAAAGTTTGTGGGTTTTAAATGTTTTTCGTTCACCAATTCTCTAGATTTTATTTTTTACTGCAGAGATCTTCCTTATTATATTAACTTTTTTTTTTAAAGGGTAAGTTAAAAGTGAATAGTTGTTTCATTTTTTTCAGTTTCCTTCTGCATGGGATGTGACCATGGAATAGTTACACACATATGCAAGCTACAAACTAGTTGTAGCAATAATACTATAGCTTTGCAGAAACTGGAAAAAAAAACAAAGTTCACTCAATGAAAATATGAGATTTTTGCTACCTAATCACATCCGAAAAATGTTAAAATCATGGAGAAAGGAACACAAACTGACCATGACATCATTCTTAAGTTTACAAATGATGAAAAGTGGCATTATGATACTATTCTACCATAGAGCAAGGAACAGATTTTATTATATTATTCTACAGAACATGCCCAAACAAATATCTCCATGAATTACTGAAGAGAGCGATACCAGTGACCGAGCATCAACCTGACCGCTGGCCGAGTTTTGGGACGCCAACGTCCCACACCCTCGGCGGCCAAGACCCGCTACGCTCCTACCGAACGTTCCCCACAACTTACCGTCAACTGTCGACGCAAAACAGTACGATCTCCTCCATAAAAGACCAGACGACACGAGGATAGCAACCAAATATGTCAATGGAATACGTCTCAGATTCATAATCCACACAAAGCACAAATCCATGATCATAGTGATGTGAGAAAGTTCCGTTTTAAGTACCACTACAAAAGTGCATGCTTTTCGATTTAACAACTGTAACGGTCTAGCAGCTCAGCTGACTGGTCAGCTCAGCAAGCGTACGTTCACTTTCAAGAAACTGGGCGGGCACATGGAGACATTATAAGACGATGATTCACCCGTTGTCAAAAATCGAAATGAATCGATATCTTTTTCATGGATTTACACGTGTGTTCCAGTTACAATATCCTGTCGTAGTATCGGCTTCTGCTGCATATGTTCCGTGGTTCAACAGACACATAGGCCTTTCATTTCGGGGTGATCTTTGTTGAAGATCATTCAGGAACCCAACCAACAATGGCAGTCAGAGGCCCTACAAAACACATGCAAATACCGCATGACTAAACGTGTAGCCGCGGCAGTGAGGCGTGTCCTTTCTGTCAACAAACTCAATTCGTTGCCCTATTTACTGCTGTAGGAGGCCGACATGCTATGTAGTCATAGAGCTGCATAATAAGTCTAGAAATGACAAACACGGATCGGAATAGTCCACCATTGTAGTCAGCAGTTGCAGGTTCCAAAAACATTGCCTGCTTTGCAGACCCGAGGTTTTTTTGTTAGTTTTGATACTTTCAGGCACTTGGCCAAAATGAGCTTCAACTTCAAGACCTCAAGAACAACTTTCTATTTTTTTTCAAAAATTAATTGCCCAGCACCATTATACTGAAATTCGGGGTGAGGCGGTACTTCAGCTGAAAAAGATTTCATGTATAGGCCGATATTGGGAAAATAATTATTGCAACATTCTTCCAATCAATCGAATATGTAACTGCACGGCCGGTTGGGGGTCAATCTGATAAAGGTCACCGGTCACCGTGCCGAAATCCTGGCCAAAATAATGCAAGTGTGTGTTGGGCAAGGCAGATCTCGATCTTTATGAGGGCGCTATACAATTTCAATGGAGATATTTTTTACCAGAGATAGTCCCCCCACCCCTCCACACAGTTTACGCATGTTTTTATTTTTTCAGTAGTAATAGGGTTCAAGTGAGATTTTTCTAATACCCATTTTCCCATAATTTGTCACAAAGCTATTTCTTACTCCCTACGCATGCTATGTCTATGCTACATCATGACTTTTTGGGTAGTGTGATTTAAGACGTCACCTCTGAGCTGTCACGGACCAACATTTTCCGAGTGATCGAGATATAATACATTAATACAATATTTCTCTTAGGGAAACATTAAATATTGCGTTTTACAGTTTTGGTTGTGCACAGAGTTTGTGGGGATAGGAAGTCCTTGAAAAAAAAGATGCTTTTTTGGGAGGGGAATTAATGTTTCTATATAGGCTAAAAGCCTTAACATTGTATTTTTTTCAACGTGTCAGGTGCAACCTGATTGCCAAGATTCGTTAGAATAGTGTATTAGTTGTTCTTGTCAAGAATTGTGTTCAAGTCGATCGTTAAGGTTGCGAGTTGAAACAGCGCCCTCAGGTTTGTTTTTTTAGCAGCCTCGACTCCTTCGCTCGTCGTGCGCGTGCGCGTTCCTTCAATCACCCCTGGCCGTGATGAACACGTGAACGACGCTGACCGGTTACTGAGGATCATCATGGAGTCACGCGTGAGGGATTAAATGAGGGAAAAGGAGTCTGATTTTCATAGGAGTCGGATTTTCATATGACACCAGCTCACCTGCTATATGAAACAAAAAGCGACACGAAACAAAGATCATTGGTAAGTCATCATAAAACCATCTTGAACAGCACTGCAAACTCGTATTAATGGAAACTTGCAAATAATTTTGCTAAAATTTATATACACTCTGTACTATCAATAAAAAGCAAAAGAAAACCTTAATTTAAAAGAAAGATGTATCAGAAAAACCTTTCCTGTGAATCACCGTTGTTTTAAAATGACGTTTTTTAAGGATTAAAAGTAGTTTAATATCAACCAAAAAATAAATATATAGGTTTTCATCATACACCGGGTTACATAGATAATTTTAAAAATGAAGATACTTTGTGACATAACTTCAAATTAAATCTTAAAGTTCAAATCCAGCCACCGTTGTCGTTAATATCAACCCCGAAAGAGCGCCCTCTTTCGTCAGTTTTCCTCTCAAATCCAGGAAGGTACAACTGCATCTCAGACATGTATTTTTCTTTGCCGTCGTTCACCGCTGGTGGCGCACTGTCTTCGCCTAAATCCGTCAGCCTCAACTCCACGTGCACCTGGTTCACGACTTTCATGTTGACAGACTGCTTGAAGCGTGCCGGCTCCTGCTCGGCAACCACTGGTCTTTTGCTCTCTTCCATACCGTGGTTTGTAGCTTTGGGCCCGTAGGTGTCATCGGCCGTAACGTGAACCTCAACCGTATTCGTGGTCAGATCACCGTTTCGGTCCGCCTCGACCGGTTCTTTCCCGGCTTCCACGAGCGTCTCGCGTTCAGGCGTGATCGAGTCCGCGTCCGGGCCGTTCATCGTCGCGAAACCACCGGAGTCGTTCGTCACGTCTCCGCTGCTTCCATTCCGGCTGATCAGGCTCAACTTCTCCATGCCGTCCTGGATGTCTTGGCCTAGGGCGCCCTCCAGCAGCAGAGCGTTCATTTCCTCGTCCTCCTCCTCTTCGGGCCAGCCACTCGTCTTGGACCATAAGTGATTGACAAGCATGACGTCATTGGAGCTAATCTCGCTCCATTCATTCTTGCCTCCCGTGATCATCTCGTCTGCATCTTCATCGCCCTCTTTGCTGTAAATGAAGGACCCAAATAAAATTCAAATTAAAGGCATAATAAGATCATTTGCTTCATGCATTTTGTTCGTTTCCAATAATAACATCACTTATAACCCAAAGAGGAATGTTCAAAACCTAACTTGTTGAAATTTCAGCTCAGTGGATACTACACGTTTCGAGAAAACATGTGAAAAACCATCATAAACTTCTAATTACGAAACACGATTTCGTCCATAGAGCACTCGATCTGTAGTTCTAACAATCAGTCAAGTTTTTGACTGAGTTGAATCTCCTACATTTCATGATGCATGTTAATCACACAGCAAGCCAGACGGAAAGGTTTCACGAAGTGTGTAGTACCAGTGTACGATTACGCGATCTTTAATCAAGTGAGATTTTTGATAGCAATTCGGTAGGCTACTTTTATCATATTGCGGCCATCTTGATTGTTTTCCCATTCAAATCTTCGTATCCAAAGTAAGGCCGGAAGGAAAAAGAGTCTGGTTAATTTTTGCATAGAAAATATCATTCAGTACTGTTATTGGATACAGTGAACATGGCTGAAACGGTAGCAGCATGATAAAAGTCTATATGCAACACTGCATCGTATCATGCCGGCCCACGACAACAATAATGTAAACTCGATTATCTACTGACTATAGAGAAGAAAGGTATGGAAATGGTTATAAGCTGACTCATACTCGGTACGCAGTGCATGGTTACTGTTCACGTCTTCCACCGCTGTGCCCGGGTTCGATTCCTCCCCTGGCCACATGTGGATTGATTTTGCAATTAATCCCTGCCTGATTCCGTGGGTTTTCCTCAGAATATTCTTTTGGGAGTTTTCCTCCCACCTCTAAAAACTGTAACTTCTTCTCAAACGGTCTCCTCTATATATACAAGCTTCATGAGGCTTTCGAGCTACAGTGCTTAGGGCACTGTTGAGGAATCCTTGGTTTCATTGCCATAAATAACTAAATAAATACTCACCAAATGTGAGTGTACAGCAAGTAGATAATGGAAATGATTCCAGCAGGGATGACCAAAGCAGCCGCCGTGAGAACGCCCAGGGTCCCGGCGTAACCACGGTGGCCGTGCACGGTGCCGGCGTCCGGGATGGACGGCCGTACAACAGGCAAATCCTCAGAGTCTACAAATGGAAATCATGGCGAAAGGGAGTTACACATTTTGAATTTCAAAACAGAAGACCTGGGGAAATAATAGACATACTGAAAGGGGAAGAGCCATGAGTTGGATAATGTTAGCAACTAACAAAAAAGTGCAAATGTTGCTCAACGTTTTCCCCGATGCATCGTTCAAAATTATCATCTAAACTGAATTCGTTCCAAGGGGTTTGAAGTTTATTTTTGTTCTCGAATTAACCAAGCATTTTCGGGTAAACAGAATAGCAGTATCATATATCTACTGTCACCGAACAACTTAAAAACGTGTTTTGTTAAGTTAATAACAGCTAAATAAAATGAAACGTCAAAGTTATATTTTTTTATGAATTTAGTACCATGATTATTCACAAATACCATAAATACATTATCTCTGGCCTGCATTATGTGTACGACATGTACATTTGAACTAAGTTAATTTCCTGTTTGAGTTTAGGCCTCAGTTGAAACTGTCGTCCAATTCTGAATGCAATTTGCAATTATTGTAACACACAAGGGGTTTTATTTTGGTATTACACACATACCTGCCTGTCCCCGGGATCTCAGAACAGCGTCTCCGGTCCAACAGCACACGAGCACGAGAGCCAACTCCAAAGACCAACGTTTCCACCTTGACTTCGCCATCTTGCCTGCAGCCTGCCTGTGCTAGCTACAGAAAAACATGGCTCAGCCAGCAGGCAGCACCCGGAGTTTATCCCGAAAGCGAAAACAACTAGCGTCGATCGAAAGTCAACTGCTCGCACAGAAGGATAAAGCTTATTTGTCTACGCAACGGGTCAGTGAAATCGTCCCTACAAAGGCAACCGACCCATTTCATATTCAATTTGCAAATCTTGAATAATCGGGTTGATATGCTGCACAGTCAGTGTACACGTAGTTTATTAGTTTGCGATACAGCGCGGATATCCTTCAACACGAGCACTGACATGGGGCTGCATGGATTGTTCAGAAAGCACCGAAGCGAGACCCTAGATCTTTTGGACAGCATGTATTGTACCCCTATTTTTTTTGGCTAGGTTGAGTTATTATCGAAATAGTCAGCCGTTCATAACCGGGGAAATCAACAAAGCTTATTCAAGGCTGAAAGTTTGGCAGCGATTGCCAATTATCCTATGGGGAAAAAAACACAACGCAGGCATAACAGTCACACACGAAATGAGCCTCTAGGCTCTAGATCACGTATAGCCCGATGGTATATCCTCCACCTCATCCACCTACACCCTATAACCGCCGTGCTATGCTCCGTTCTCATGCAAAACAGCAAAAGTATACATGTAAATTGTTCAACATGTCATTAGTATATGTATAGTGTCTAGCTAAACGTAATACATACAGGCATAATTTTAGTTAATCCCTCACCAGGAACTGAACATCAGTTCATGAAACATGTAGCGCCATGAAACTTCACACATGAATGTAAACCAAAAACCTTTTCCACATTTTGATTATCATTGAATGACTGATGACGTTCACCCTTCCAGTTTGTATGTTCTGCTGTTGTTGGCAATAATTAATAGTCTTCAATTATTGGTTGGATCGCATCACAAGGAAAAGTACAAAATCAATTCTTAGCAAAGCTACACGCATTTTTCATCTTTTCTGATTCATGTTTTTCTTAATCATGCTAGAATTCACAGCAGGTGAATAAAGGTAACGTGTGGTTAAAAAAAGGTGTTTTTGTTTCCGTACTTTCCAGAGCATTGGCCTAATAACCAAACACAGTTGTTGTTTTTTACCCAGTCAAAGGTGTATGCAATTTTAAGAAGACAACAAGAAATTTTATTGAAATCGTTCACTTGCAAAATTCTTGTTAAACCGGTGTTTTATTCAAGTGATGGAGCGTCAGATTATGCCTTCACGTGCACCCCGTGATTCTGAAAACCAACCCACGAGCAAGAAAAAACAACCTCGCTCCTTACCCAAATCTTTTCAGTGTTTCTGAAGCCAACATCTACGTCCTTTATCAACCAATTCTCCTCCGACACAACTCATTTCTTTCACATTCAAAACACTTAACAAATTTGTACCCCTGTCTTCAATAGCTAAACGAACTCACTGGTGCAGTCATCGAGATTAACTTCCAAAGCTCGCCCGTGAATAACAGCGCAAGCACCGAGGGCAGACATGGAGGGTTTCTGGTGGAGATGGACCGCTCCGGTCGTCGTTCTGCTACTTTTTGGGAGCGGGGATTTAACCAAATCATGGTCATATGCAGGTAAATCTTTATTCAAACATAAATTTCAGGAGAGATTAAAAGATCAGTGGATTAAGATGGATTAAACTAGTAGAAGAACGTTTGTGATAAAGTAAAACGTCGTGTTGTACCAACGTGTTGTACCAACTAATCATTATTAATCGACGATAAAATTAAGTTAGAGACACAATTTGTTCCTGTTCTTTAATGTCAAGATCCCGTATCGTCGACGACTCCGCCAGTTCGAAATGTCCAATATCGAGGCACACAGAGAATCGGCAAAATGGTGGCCGTGATAATCGGCTGCGTCGTCGTCCCGGCCGGACTCATTGTACTGCTGTACTTGGCCTTAAATTACTGGTAAGAAATCACCTGTAACTCATCATTCGAATTTGAATAATCTATTATTTTTACAGAATGGATTTTTGCTGATCCCCGAGGGACCAGTATATAATTCTCAAGATAATAATTCACGGTAGCACCATATGTGACATATCTGTTTTTGTGAATTTGTGAGGTTCTGAAAAGAACCGGGGGAATCTCAACGCTTGAACTCATCATCAGCATCGAGCACTGGTTCCCCCGTTGCATTAGAGAGGCCATGGAAATATTCAAGCATGACACAATCATGAGTACCCTCAAGACATCGGCTTCTCCATCAGTGACACCTGGCGCCCCATCCTCATCACTCAGACCAATGGTCTTCTATACCCAAGGACAACTTTGGCCAAGTTCGCGCAAGGACTATAGTTGACCAATGGTAACTAACGTTTGCCCGATCTCTGTCTAGTCAACGGTGGTTGACTACGCTAGTCGACTATTTGGAACCAGCCTACTGGGGTTGGTTGCTTCGCTGGTAACCAATAGCCGCGCGCATTCATAACGCTAGCAAAGAGCCAGGATCCAGACGTTTTGCGATGACATTTTGACCAGCGTTTGACTAGAGACGTTCGCACGTTGCTATCAGTGCGCAGGCGTAAGGTACGTCACAAATCAACCACTAGTCGACTAATGGTCCTTGCCCGAACTTGGCCTTAGTTCCCTATACCCTAGTCAGCCTATGGGTTTCCTATGAGCTCCGTGCGCTACCAAAAGAGGGCGCCCTTTTACCTAACAACGACGCCCCATGGGCGGGACATTTCACTGGTTGACCATCACTTTACCATAACAGCTTTTTTCATTCTACGAACTTCTTTAGCCATGGCGAACCAATCGAATGTAATTTGCTCTCACTCTGGATGGAACCTGATTTACTATAGGCAGCCTTTAATACCTAGCTAGCTACAATCCCAGCCAAAATGGTTGGGACACTTCCTGAGCCTGCCACGGTCACCCACTCCCCCGCTCCCCCGGTCAGTGTTGTTCTCTCCAGCTGATGGAGCACACACCGCGCAATGAGAGACAACATTGAGTGGGGGCCGGGGGTGGGGGCCCAGCGAGATTTGGCCAGGAATGTAGCTGAGCTGAAACATCGTCATCGACACTGGCAAAATGTTAAAAGAAAATCTCATCTTTTTTAATCCCCGCCAGTGTGAAGAAAAGACAAACCTCAAAATCCAAGCATGATGAAAGTGCTTCCTCCGAAGACGTCGACGACCGAAGAAACTGGAGCGATATGAGCGACTCGGACGAGGACGAAGTAAAAGAGAAATCCACGTTCTACGTCTACGTGAACCCCATTGAGACTATGACCCTTGACCTGAATGGTAACCTTGCCTCCAAGGTCCCGAGCAATATCTGAAAGGTGCACTCCTAACTTACGAGTAAATAGGTAAATAGGCAAAACCCCATCCGCCGAGCTCATGAATAAAAGGTTTACCCTTAATACATTCTATATTAGAGAGTTTTGAGAGCCATAAAATTGGAAAATTGAAGAGCATGTCAATGAACTAGTACCTCTGACGCGGACTTGGGGCTTCCAATTCTTAAATATAATTACAATTTAAAGTGAAATTTCGTCCAGTGATTTGTCGCGAGGATGTGTAACATTATATTTAATTTTATAGGAAATCGTCAAACATTAAAAATAACATAACTGAAACAAAATAGTACAGGTATTATTTAAAGCGAACAATACAAACCGAATGAAAACAAGAAAGTCAAAGACCATGGAAAAATAACACACTCGTTGTTCATGGGAAATAATCCGAGCCCACCAGGCCCAGCTGTATTAAGTTGTAAGTTTGGCCAGTGTTCGGCCTGGATATGTTACATAAGGAGATTCAATTTCGTGAGAAACCGTCGAACAACAACTGAAAGTTTCTTTCGAGAAAGGGTGCGCTAAATCAAAGTGGTCTGGCACCAAGACAAACGAGCGCACGTGCCTAATTTTTAAGTTTGATTCAATAGAGGGCGCGCCACATAATTAGTGGTCTCCACAACGCATCAACAGGGATGCTGCACTATTGAACAAAAAAGAACAAATTCGTTTCCGATCAACTACTCACGAAACACAAGATGTGTTAAATTGAAATTTCGTGCACTCATTTTCCACGATGTGAAACATTGGGGTATTGAATATCATGAGAAACCATGGAACAATAACAATAACATGATCGCAACAATGTAGTGTTTTAAACGTGAAAAATCCACGTTGACTTCCATTCGGATTACATTTGCCGCGCTTAAAACACTGTGTTGTTACGGTCATAATTGATTCATTGTTTGACGGTTTCTTATGAAATTAAATCACGTAATCTTAAACATAATGACAAATCAGTGGACGAAAATGTAATTTAATACATGATGTATTTCTTTAGTTGTTGTCCCCTAAAACAAGTTTTCTGGTGGAGATCTAGACCATTATTTATGTGGCGCGCCCTCTGTTGAAATAAAATCAAAGAAGGTATTGGTGCGAGACCTCTGGGCACAGACCTGTAAATTGGCCCAAAATTGCGCCTACGCGAGCCAAATCACAATTTGTGTACCCTCAACATATTTGCTATAAGAGCATTTTGTGGGTCATGAACTTGAACGTATAGGAAAGAAGGACGGAAGCCGTGCATGTGACTGCAAGCTTGTATTTCTGTGTAATTGGGCCCTAAAATGGCTCTATTTTTGCAATGGCTCTATTTTTGCAATTTTGTTTACCCCCCCCCCCCCCAATAAAAATGACCGTGCTACGCCCCTGCACGTACTTCCAATGTTTTTAACTGCTCACACTTCTTGATATCCAAGGCGTTTGACATTTTAACTAAATACGTAAATGTGGACGTCCGAAGCGAACAATGCATTCCTTAAGCAGATGCGTGCTGGATTTCTTTGACAGCTGAACACTGTAACAATAAAATACAAAACCCCCGTTAAAAAAAAACACCGTGCAAGAGCGCCGTACCTAGGTACACAGATCGACGGGGCAACAACAGCCTGACGACCGGTAGGAATCATGGCGTATCTACGGTCCACTACTTTTGTGTTAATACTGGTCGTCGGTATTTTCACTATATCAGCAACACTGCCGGTACTAGCGCTCGAAGGTATTGCCAATTTGTTGTTGTTGTTTAAGTTGTTGTTGTTATTGTTGTTTAATTAAAACCCACATTCCGAAATTCACAAATGATCAGCTTTTACTGATTTGCACATCCCTTTCGTCCATGTTGGGTTTCTTTGTCGTTTTAACCTTTGGCTTAAGGGCCAATGCGAGGCACATTAAAACAACTTGGAAGATGAATTGAGGGAGACATGAATCAGTCGTTGCATCCTTTATAATATTATTGTACTATTTCAGATATAACCACAGCTGTGGTAAGTCAAATTTGTTAACAACAACGACAAGTCCATGTTTGAGTTTACTGCAAGTATTGGGAGGGCAAGGTGGCCACCCCCACTTGATGCATGTGCCCTCAGTCAGAAAATTCGGGCCTCTCAATATTGCGTCTGAGCTGAGAATCCCAAAACTTTATAGATGTTGAAAACATGCAATACAAAAAAATAGACTGGCTCATGAAACAACCAGTCCAACACCCGTACTGCATCAATTAGCTGTGTCAAAAGAAATATCTGGTACCGAGTCTCTACTTGTACACATTTCCATAGTCATGCCACCAGACTACTGAAGGGTCAATCTTCTCAAAAAGTTGGACATGTACCAGTCTGGTCTTAGGCTTCAAATTTATATCACTTGGCTTCACTCTCGGGTGCAAAATGTTGAATAAAAGTCTCCGTTAAAAATAAAATTGGGACCTAAAACTTGGCTAGTGAAATACTGAGGACATTGTTTTTGCCACATGAAACTTTTGGAGAATTTTGTTGGCTGAAGAGTGAGTAACATTGGCCTGATATTGTTTTGCATGTTTTGCTGCACTTAAGGTGACTGAAGTGCCCCCGCCCCCCACTGTCAATGGGATCCGAGTTTATTGCCTTAAGTATGGACAATTTTGATATTTTTTTAATCAGATAATGATTCTGCTCCCCCGTCGAATCCCCCATGGGTCGTTCAATTTTACGGCACCACCAGGATTGGAACGATGGTCGCAGTTATTATAGGATGCGTCATCGTTCCCGTAGGACTGATCGGAATCCTGATTTTGATGATCAATTTTTGGTGAGTTTTCAATAATTCATTGCCTATTTGAAATGATGGACATTTTTGGTGGTCCTCTATTTTTATTCACTAAATTTGGTAACACATTTTGCTTCTTAAAGGACCTTGAATTTTTGTGTAAGAAAAATATAGGTTGGCAAACGTTGACCTTTTTGTAAACCGAATTTTGCTTCCCCCCCCCCCCCAATCTGTTTTATCATGTCAGGTATATGCTTTTTATTAGCGCCCTTTGTTGTTTCAAGTGGTCTATGTTCATTTGTTTTTATAAAAGCCGTTTTCCAATCTTCGAGTTCGTTTTAGATCCGGCTCTATTCATGGATCTGTACTAATAGAGGGCACTTATGTTCAAATGGAAATACTGTTAACTTCATGGCCTATATTGAGCGGAATAGTTGCCAAACAATTATACATAAAAACAAAGGAATGTTTAAATCATGAAGTTGGAATCAAATCCAGTGCCAGAGATAAAGCCGTGATTTGGGAAACGCTATAATTTGAAGTGTTAAAGAGACTAGTTAGTTGTATTCGTTCTTTGAACCAATAGCGTGACGACCTGGAGACAAAGCCACCAGACCTCAAGTTGGGCCCCAATAACCAGTATGTTCCCTCAACGGCCACGGGACCGTCCACCACACAACGACGATGCCAAAGAGACCGTGTTCATGGAGCTGGACTCTGGGGACGAGGTAGGCACAGAACCAGTGGAGGAAAAGGCGCCCTCTGCCAACTAAAATTTTTCACCGTTGCGCCTCGTGAGTGCATGACCATCAAATAACACAGACTTTATTCATGGGTCGGCCATATTGAATTTAAAGCGAGGGAAACTCTTCATTTTTGGAACTTGGGAGTAGAAATGCAAGCAATGAAATAAAAGTTAGTTACAAATTAATACCAGTCTGCTCTGATGAAAAATTTAAAAATTGTGATTACACATACCCTAATGTTTTAAGCCACATGTAAGCCACATAAAAAAATGGCTTCCTCGTGACATAAGGTCCATTAGGTTATGAAAAGTTGCGGGTTCACAGTTCCTAAGAACATCTGCAGACTAGAATTAAAGGACATTGGTTCGAAATGTGGGAGCATGTTGAAAATAATTATGCAGATCCCTTTTTTCGTTCAACATTTTGTCTGAAAAACTACGTGTGTCGACGATTACTGAAAGAATAGAAAGTGCATGCCAAGCCTGTCTGCTGCCACCAATCGTTTCAAGTCAATAATTAAAAAATGAAGTTATTAAGAATACCTTTATTATTTTACCTTGGTTGGGCGAGACGTTGTGAAGATGAGGGAGACATTAGGCCTCTGTCGGTTTAACTAATGAAAGTCCTGTCTGTAACAGTCAGGTAGGCCGGTTTCCCATTGTGTACATAGCGCCTTCAATCATTGATAGAGGCGTTATGCTTTTCTATTCGAATTTCTTCGTTCATTAATGGTTTTGTGACTCTGGTAAATTATAAATGAAAATAAATAAAAATTTACTGTAATCTACATAATATGCTAGTGGCAATATTTGGTGTTGATAAATATAGATATTTAATCAATTTTGCTAGGTAATGACTGTTGCCAATGTTTTTGTTTGACATTTTCTTGTAAAATGAAGCGTGCAAAATGATTTATAAGAGCTTGGGTCTAAAGTTCGTTTTTGCATGGAAAGCCTTTTCCTTAATTAGCCTGGATGCGGTTCGTGTAAGGACTTCCGCAGTTGTTGCATCTGGCGCTCACACTCCCAGGACTGAGGCATTTTCCCCAAAAGTTTCTTTTAACAAGACCACGAATTTCTGATGGCACATCTTGTACCTCAAGGGATTTACTGTATCCAAAAGCCCACACGTAAAGGAAGCGTGTGAACTGCATGTGCGCGCCACGACGGCGTCTTCTGCGCAACCGCGGGCTACACCGCCATGATCAGCAGCCGTGCGGAAATCTTTGGCCCTCAGCGCTAAAATCTTAATCTCGCTAGATGCGTGCTGTGCAGACAACCGGGGTATGATATTTTTAGGGTAGGACAGACTAAGCTAGTCATGCACTCATCTTTGAGACTTAAAGTGCGCTGATGCATCTAGTTAAACTGCGAAGAAACAGTGGGTTCAGCACGTTCCCTGGTCCAGCACGTTTATTAACGTGCTTTCGGTGGCCCCTTGAAAGTGAAAGCGTATAGCTGATACATTCAGTCGTCATCTGTCAAGTCATCCTATATTTTTAATGAACAAAAGGAAACTAAATCAACAGTTACTCAGTGTGCATCGCAATGTTAGAATCGATCCCTCACCAAAATACGGCACTATTTGTTTGTAACCTCTCTGACTAGCTCGCCTCTTTAACAAAGATTTTGTTCGTCACTTGGGAGACCATCAACGTAAGGCCTTTTAGTTTTAGTTGGTAGAGAGTTGGTATGGTGTTTCAGTCATTATTTTGAAGACAATAGGCGTGCTTCTTTCTGAAATATCGAATTCATTAAATTTCCTTACAGACAAAAATCCTTTCCCGTTCGTTCAGAACAATGTCTTCATATTGACGAACAAAAACGTTACAGTTAAAGAAATGTAACTTTAGAATTTGACAAACAACATGAATGTGAACATCTATGATGAAAATATTAATATTCATATTTCTAGTTGAAGGAAAGTTAATAAACTTTTATTGACATCGCTGCTCTCTTTATCTCTGAAGCGGAATTTAATTCAAGGTCTCACAGGCTCGTTTGGAAAGGCATAAAGTATAAAAATGTGGGCAGGTGTATTATATGAATATAAGGATCATATAACTATCTGAAGATATCAGTACCGCCCGCACTTTCATTTTAGTATGTACTTTAAAACAGTTCAATGACTGCAATGAATCGAAAGGAGTGACCATCATGATCCTGATATTTTACAAGGCTTCAAAATGATTAGAGTTCATTTTCACTGACCAGTGTGGTAGTCGAAATATGCTCCGAAACCTCAAACATTTGCTGAAATAGGCTAAAGACCTATACGTCAACGATGAAAGACTCACATTGATTTGGCTCTGAACATACAAAACAGCTGTTAAATTTTGATTTAAAAAAGAAATTTTGATTTAAAAAAAACTTGATTTAAAAAGACTTTATGGAAATATTGGATCTCAAAATGGTCTCGAAAAGATGCACTTGGCCAGACCTCACTGAGAGTTGACTCGTACTACAAAAGGAAAGAAATGAAACGTATAGGTTAAATCAGTATTCTTTCATTTAACAAGTGACACTTAATCCTCATAAAAGAAATATTTTGTCTCTTATTACGTAAATAATTGATAAAGAAAACGAGTTCTCAAAAAGGCTGGGCTAGAAGTCTTAATTGTGCATATACCATAAACATGCCGTAAATACACGTCCTTGGTGCAGCATATGCAATGATACCCGCATGTCATGTCTTCAGTGAAGCAGCATGTTGGACAACCGTTGTATAACTGATACCAGCACAAATGGTTTTACGACGTCGCTCCGTCTATTTTGGAGTATGTTCGTCCTTTTTTTTTTTTTTTTTTAATGTAACCAGGCATTACTGAGTCATTGACAGAGCCAATTATCATATGAAACCTGCTAGCACATCTCGGCAAAGATCATGCGCATTGCGATTATGACAAATCGCATATTGGTGTCTTAGACCAGCCACCCACCTTCTACAAGACACGAGAAACACTGCCAACCCGCTAAGTCCACGCCCACTGATGACCAGCCTGATAATTTTCACTCGACCCCGATAACAGTACTCTATGGAGAAAATAGAACAGCTAGTATAAAGACTAGCAAATGGATGTCAGGTTAATACTGCATGCTTATACCATCCATTAATATGCGTGGGTTGGACGCGGGTTGATTTTTGGCGGGATCGGCATGGTTCAGTTGAAGGTAGTCTCTCGACAAGAAGTGCACGTAGTTGCTGTGTCCCCGCTTTATGTAAGGTGTCTATAGCTACAGCTTACCAGGACACTTCGAATGTCATGACATGTTTCCTTCCTTGATGGTGAAACTTTTCATGTGAACTGACGAGGGGCACTTGCTTCGTTGTAGTTCAGTCACGGAACATTATCCAGTTGACAGTTGGCAAATGTGTACCAGTTGATATCAAAGCGTACGGTCGTGCACTTTCAGCTGAAATTCGAGGTGCCGATTTTCAGGACGCATATACGCCATCGTCTCCCGATTGGGAGCATTTATGTGTTGACACATCTCAGATACTTGAATGCGAACTGTCCGGGAGCTGTTCAGGAAGGTGAGTGACATCGTTAGTTTAATGAGAAACTCTTTAAAGGCATATAGGATCATTTGCTTCCCATGCATTTTGCTCGTTTCTATAATAACACCACTCAAAATCCAAAGAAGAACTTGAATTTAACCTGTTGAAGGTTCAGCTCAGTGGATATTATACTTGTTGAGAAGAAGTGAAAACCAATCACAACTTTTTGATCACGCAACACCATTTCGTCCATAGCGCTCTTTTTAAAATAAAAAAAAATTCAGTCAATTGACTGATTGTTGGAAATCACCGACATTTCTTGATTTCTTCCAAGTGACGGCAAGCCAGATAGAATAATTTCACGGGGTGTTTTGTACTAGTATTATACGATCTTTAATCCAAATAAGATTGTTGATATCTATCGGTAGCTTACTTTCGGGATAACTGCTAATGATCCTATATGCCATTAAAGATGACTCTTTCGTTCTGTAAAGTGTCTTCTATATAATTCAAAATTGGGGTTGCCCTTAATTCACTGACGTAATCTTATAAACACTGTGTATACTCGGTGTTTTCCTCGGGCTTTCAAGCAGAGAACAAATTCATAAGCTTACTCGGATGGAACTCGACCCGACGACCACCTGTTTTATAGTGCAAGATGCCTTCTAAAAGATGCATTATTGTTTCATTGTGGTTTTTCCCTCTTCTCTCCCGAACATGATTTCTCAGTGTGTTGTGATAAGGGTTTCTAAAGGGCGAAAAATACTTATACTCGGTCCCTATTTCCGTTTCGTTCTTTTACTTTACTTAAAATCTTTGTGCAGTAATAATTATGCTGATGTTAATATCAACTAGGGAAATATAGTTCAACAACTAAACAAACTTTTAGCTGTTTTTTTTCCAATTTAGTTTTGTTTTTATTTGCATAGGGCTATAGATATTATGCGTTGCAGCTGTCATATAAGATATTATTCGTTAATTTTAATATATTATCAAAGCATGAATGCACAAAAAGGGTTACTCATATATATCCTAGTGATACAAAACTATATGCCTCGAGCTTGGCCTTAACGCATCCCGTCTATAGCACATTAATATTGAACAATGAATAGAGCTCCAGCGTCATTTGCCACAATCTCCTACTGCAATATACCTATAGCATAATTTCCCAGAAGTATAGGTTTTGCAGAAACATATACCCGAATGAGTTTTCATTCTGGGCAGACGTTAAGAAGATCATAAGCAATTAAGTAACATAATGTATCAAGACGTTTAGCCAATATGAGTCGTCACGCTATATGTAGAACTGATGGGAATATCATTGACGATCATTTTATCCGTAAAAAGGGCAAGATCTCCGTACGATTTGAAACTCGCGCCCAATTGCATCCGTAACCAAACTCCCCCTATGGGGCATTGAAAGTACGGTTGATCCCTGACTATTTGTCGTGAGGTCCTCCAACTCTCTGCGCGGAGTCTTCTCCGCGATAACGTCTCTTCGGATTCCTATGCATGGTGTCCCAAAGCGTTGAAGAAGAGTATTTAAGACTCACTAATTATGCCACCCGTCTGTGGCTACGTCGAACTGAAACGTCTGGTGCAAAGTAAAAATATGCGCGGAGGCTGTGCAGGGCAGCACCTTGGGGCGGATAGCGTGGAGCGTTTTCGCCCCTTCTCCCGTTCCAGACATGCCCCTGGGGTGAACGGAACATGATTGGGGGACTGGAGTTCGAGTGTTCGTGAAAATTAAATTTAAAAGGAGAATAATAAGGAATGAGGAAGGAGTTTGTTTCTCAGACTGTTCAACGTGCGATGACATGGAAATGCGCCAGCGAGGATTTTGGTCTTTGAAATACGCGTTTATCAAACATGAAACTTTACACAAACATACGCCCACATTTATTTTGTGACCCGACGTAATAAAATAGGGGTACAGTCACCAGGGTTACTTTAGGGCCGTGTCATCAACTGAGCTACCATTAATGGCACGACAATGTTAAAAGCCAAAAGTATCTAATTCGAATATAGCGGTCGTAGATTGTCTCTCCACGTTTAAATTTAAACGGCTTCTGTAAAATCGATTAGATTTATCCAGCACAACCCGTTAGCGTTGAAGCATTTTCAGAGAAGACATTGTCGTCGTTTATTTTCTCATGAATTCGTCATTACCCGGAGAACCACGTTCGACTGGATAATGGATAGGCCTAGCGTCCTCTGTGGACAATTCTGCCAAATTGTTAGTGCGAGTCTTTAGTTTGCATGTAACGACATTACACATTAGGTTGAAGATCAACGTAAATAATTCTCTGTAAGTTTTTGGCGTCCTCTTTTTGTTTACTCTGTGCAGGGAACGAACAAATAAAGATATTAAAAACGTATAATAAAGATAGTAAAAACGTATTTGACCGCCATCTTGGATTCATTTCGTTTTGTATTTTGTGATCAAGGGGTATTTCGTGAAGTCATAAGGCAAATATCGGTCCTTGTCGTCACGTGTCAGCTACCTCTGAACTAGCGCACTTTGCCACTGATCGCCCTAAAGAGATCACGTGACTGCCAAAATCGTCCAAAATGGCGGTATCCTAAAGACAATTGGTCTGTGCGTCTTTCCAAATTATCTTCGTACTCCCTGACAAGTTTTACCAAATGAAATGTATTTGGTGATTTCATTCTCGTATCACAAATACGATTTCCCAAAAGGGAAATCGAGGAAATGAAATTGTTGGAAATGTCACCAGGGAGGTGGGGGGGGGGGGGTATGAGAGCAATCCGTTACACGACACATGCCTCACGAGTATATGAGACTTGACATTTAAATGGTCTGCTCATGACATCACCTTCGACGGTCGCTGCTCAAGAATCTATACCGGGCCATGCGCCTAATGGAAGCAGCGTAATGAATTGATCGAGGGGCTTAACGAAGTGGTCCGGACAGCCGCGCTAATGGAGGGGGCATTACCTCCTGGTCACGTGATTCGTTTCTTCTCCCACCACGCACTCCTTGTCAGAACAGAAAAGTGCGCGTGTATCCGATTATGCCAGATCTCTGAGTCTTATAGCACTGAGAAAACACTGTAGCCAGTTTATTAGCTGAAGCAGAAAACCGGTTTAGAGGTGGCTTTCTAGTCGGTAGGCTACCTTATTTGACCGGCCTCGATTTAAGCGAATCTTTTCTGTGCTTAGTATCGCCATGAAACTGACCCATACCTAGCACTGTGCAAAATTCATAGGCCTAGATGACCAAAAATGATCAAGAGTAGAGTGTAAAACTTCTTGCTATTTTGAATGAAGGCCTGTAGATTCTGACTTATCAGACGATTTTTGTTGACGTCACATAGGCTTGTTGCCTATAGAGCGGATGGAAAGCTCATACCCGTATATAGGCCTATATGCATTATGATGATCAGTTCACCAGTGTCGACCGGTTTAATTCTTTTCTTCATTTCAGCTTGGGTTCACTCCGAGAGCGCATCTTAAGTCATTGGCTCGCGGAATTTGTCTGACCTCGTTTGTTCACTTATTTATTTTTTTTATTTATGGTAATTTTTAATTTTTAAAGTTGGGATGAATAGTCTTGGATAATATTTCCATGACAACCTGTGGAATCAGGCAATGATTGAAACCCAATCCACCAGTGGACCTGGGTGGGATTCGAACCCGGGCCACGGAAGTGGGAGACGAGGACCGTTACCACCAGGCCAACCCGACTTCATGGTGCGTCAGTACATTCATGCATAATTACACCTGTCGTGCCCGCTACACCAATTAATGCTACCTACACAGTTCCCCGATCTTCATTTCCCAACGGCATCCGGAGCGCGTCAAACGTAATCATAAAACACCAAAATGTCAACGGCGGGAGCTTGGATGACGCATATGAATCCAGTGTCGTTGTCTGCTCATACCATGCTTTCATTAAACCGAACCAATACATCTGAGACTGTCTCAAGACTTGCCGAGACTCGATTTTCACGGGACTCAATTATGACAGGCCTCAATTCCACACGTTCGGGACGTCCTGCCCTGTAACTCTATTACTTTGTCATTTTGCTCTTATCCTGGACTTCGGTCTAGATGTCAAGCCATGTTCCGTAGGTGCTGAAGATTCAGTGTCTGCGCATAAAGTGTTTTCATGTATTGTACTGAAACCAGAGTGAATCATGGGCTATAAAAAGATCTTTTTGATATCTGGTGTATACGCCTTTAGCTATTTCAAGGAAATAAGTTAAACTCCAACGCCAACGATGATTTGGAAGCGCAAATGCTGTACTCCATTTTGGAGAGCTATAAGTAATCAGCCATTAAAAGGCATGAGGCAGTTATTTTTTTAAAGACTGGTAATATTACAATCTATAATGTGTCGACTTGCTCTTATTTTACCAACATTTTCTCTACTCCGGCTATTGGCGGCGCTGCGGGAAGTTTGATTTCGATAACATTGCCGAAGAAATGACACAAGTTCTTTGAATCTCCAAGAAATTGTTCTCTAAATTTATCCAAGAAGGCTAAAAAAAGTAATAATTTCAAAGAAAATTGATAATTAATATTTGAACGAAGACATATGACGACACGCTGAATTCAGAAATGAGGCCATTTTGTTTTTGTTTTGTTTTAACCCTGATATCGACATCACCGGTGAAGTTCATTTAAATATAATCTTAATAGACCTTAACCATAACAAATATGATTCGAAAAACATTTCCTCATTTTCTTCTCTTCTTGGAGAACTATTTAAGGACAGTAAAAGCGATGGATACAGATGTACCTCAACATGTAGAACAAGGTGGAATAGGCCGAAATTCAAATTAAATTGATTGATCTGAGGGCTAGAAACAGGGTTTTCAACAAGCACGAGCTTTGGACCTTGAACACGGGGAATGCAAAGCACACATACTTTTGAAATGTTGCTTCGAAAATAAACACACTCATCGAATTTCTTTTCGCGCGACCACTTAGAAGTGTGCCTGATACTTGTAAAAAAAAAAGCTCCCCAAAAAGGGAACAAAAAACACCATTAATAACTCTTTCACCCCGAC